TCCCGCGGCGCTTGTGTGATTTGATACCGCTGCTCCTCCCGGGCTGATAACCGCATGCACTCAGCTGTGCAAGCGTGATGGATGGCAGAATGGCGTGGCTCCGAGTCTGTGCCAGAAACAGCTGGGCGAATCGTGAAAACATCGAACTGATCACAGGACAGGGCCAAGGCAGCACGGTGGCACAGGGGTGAAGCTTTGCCACCTTGCAGGGCCGGGTTCACTTCCGCGGGTACTGTCTGGGCGGAGTTTGTACGTTGCCCCCGTATTCTCCTCCCGCGGGCGGCTTTCATTCCCGTTTTCCTCCCACAATCCAAAAGACAGGCTGGCTCCTGGGGAAACTGGCCCAGGGGGGAGAGTTGGCGTTTTTTGCGGTGGGCTGGCGTGTCCCGTTCAGGGTGGACCCTGCCTTGCGCTCCTTGCTTGCCAGGACGGGCCGGCCGGGGCCCTGACCGGGGGGGGGTTGAAGCGATTGGAGACTGAATGAAGGACGGGAGTGGTCTGCTTCCGACAGCGTCACGGCAACGAGGTGCTGTCGGCCGCTCGGTCAGCGGCAGGGGCCTTGTCCTGTCCGACCAGGCTTGGAACTGACCGAGCTGCCCTCTGTGCCCGTGTGTGTCAGTGGCATGGCATGGTCACTTTCCTGCGCGCCACACTGCCTGGAGCGCCGCGGGCGCCCCTGTGAGGGCCGGGACGACGGGGCTGACGGTGATGTATTGCCCACCTCGCCTGACCCCTGGCTGTGGCCCTGGAAATGTTTGTCTGGTCGGGTAACAATGGCTGGCGGGGAGCCAGAGGCCCAGCTCGCCAGACAAACTCTCGCGCGCGGGGGCGGCCGAGCACATCCTGCCTTTGTGGGCCAGGAATTTCAGGAATTCCACCCGCTTGTCTTTGCTGTCTTTCTTTTTTGTTTGTTTTGTTGTTGTTTCCCCCCCCCCTAAAACAAGGTGCTTTCAAAGTAATCCTGACTGTTTTATATTCCCTTGTTTTGTCTCTCGGCTCTGCTTCTAGCAGATCTCCCCCCCCCCCCCAAAACCACGCACGGAGACCGATGCACGCGACGCCTCTTTCCACTCATTCCTCTTCGCTTCGCCGCCGTTCATCTTCCTCCCTGACAGGCCAGACGTGTGCCTCTGTCACTGCTGCTGCCAGTGGGCACATTCTCCTCGCTTGTTTGCTTTCTACACCTTCCCAAATACTGGAACCTATTCTTTCAGATTATCGACTAAGCAACAGGAGTTGTAATAATAATAATAATAATTTCTTACACTTCTATAGGCTTTTCTGGGCACTCCACTCAAAGGGCTTTACAGGTAATGGGGGAATCCCACTACCGCCACCAATGTGCAGCATCCACCTGGATGAAACGATGGCAGCCACAGTGCAGCATCATTTTGATTGATTGAGGAAGCCTTTCCTAGATCTTGCGTAGCAGCAACAGAATTTTGTGTTAAGATCAGACGTTTTTCACAACAAAACCTCCCGTATACTGTACCGTACATTATCCTTCTTGCGCACACGTGAGCGTTATTTTGTGAGACGGAAATGTCCAGGGCAGCTTGGACTGGTATGTTTCTGGATGACTGTGGCAACAGTGTGCGGTTTTTTGGCTCTTAGCAGGTCCTTTCACAGATATGTGCTACGGGACATTTCCTGTGTTTCATAACAGTGCACACCAAGGCCTGGAGCAAGGGGTTTCCTGTACTTGTACAAAAACACTTTTATGGCCCAGGGAGTCAACAGTGGAAGTGTTTCGTTCCTCCTGAGAAAACAAACACTTGGTGAAGGGGCGGGAACCTGTGTTTCCTGGAATAGGTCCATGGGGGAAGAGATTGTGGGGACTCCGGTATGTCCAGCAGGAAGAGGTGTGAGCAGAGGATGTTGTGCGTTATGGAGGGGGGGTGCGTTATAGGGGTTCTCACCGTGTCCTGGCTAAGATTCACCGTTTCCCCTCACACAAACATCTACGCACAAAGGGGAAGCCTCCTGGTTTTTCCATTTCGTCTCTCCGTTTCCATTCCGGGTTTCCCTTGGTTTGTTGGGTTTTTTTTTTGAGTCCGTAGCACGGAATCCCTGAGACACGATCGCGCTCCCGTCGCCCGGATCCTCGCCTGTGAGCGGGGGACACAATGAAAGCCCGTGTTTTTTCCTCTTGATCCGTCGAGGGGGTTTTCCATTCCCTCGCATTTCCAGCCTCCTTGCTCACTCTGACAAGTCCCGGTCCTGAATCCCAGCAGTAAGAATAGAAACTCTGACCAGTGGGTGAAATGTCTAGTTTTTGAGAAGACATTTGAAAGTGGAAACCGACACGAAGGAGGATTAGAAACCGGAGGAACACATACGACACATCTTGTTTATTATTTCAGGGCTTGTAGATGAGGAATTCACCTTTAGAATCTGATCCACCTAGATTCCTGCAAGCCAAATTAAACACAAATTGAGATTCCTTGTGCAAAGATGTTTTCAGTCCTAAATGTGCTTCCTAGGCCTTATCGCTTGTGTGCTTTTTGGGGCAAAGGTCTCGGGGCCTCTGTTGCATTCCTGAGCATATACAAATATCATTATTGTACAGGCTCTTTGTATATTGCCTTTTATTTCGCACACAGCTTTTATAAGCAATCATCCCCGCACTGAGCAAACTCGAATATGTTCCGAATTCAGCAGCCAGAATTCTGCCCAGGTCACGGGCAAGTGATCACATTACACCTGGCTTGGAGTCACTGGCTTCCTGTTAGGTTTTGAGCTGACTTCAAAATCTTCATGCTCACCTGCGAGGCTTAGCATGGCTGGGTGCCTCCATACCTGTCTCACTTATTATCTGTCTGTTTCCCACACTTGCTAACACTATCTGGGTGACGGAGCCTCCTCTTGCTGTACCCCAAAGCTCTGAACTTCTGTCCCCAAGGAAGAGTCACCTCCCCTGAGCGCATTTCAATGCTTTCTGTTCAGAAAGGATTTTACCAAATTAGTATGTCTGCGTCTGCTCCAATTTCTATCTTTTGCTTCACTTCTAACTGCTCGTCTTTCTTATATGTGTTTATTTGGTCATTTGCTATCCTTATAACTGTTTTTTTCTTCCTTTTTAAACCTATAGTAAAGTACTGTACTTTGCAATGCCCTTTAAAGGGACTAAATAAAATAAATATTATTATTATTATTTCTTGAACCTTCAAAACGCTAAAGACTGGAATGTCAGCTCTGACTCGGTGGTGGGAGGGAGCTATTGCCTTATTGCGCTTTGGAAAAAATGCTCAGTTTACAAAACCTGCCAAAACGTTCGAAAGAATCTACGAACATGAGAACGTTTGCACAGGGGAACTCCTTTGGCCCCTTTAGCTAATTTTGTGACAACTACATGTCAAAATGACATCATGCAATTCTCAAGGGGGTGCAAATGCAAACCTTATTGCAGTAATCGGCCTCCCTCTCGCAGGCTTATCGGGGCTATAAAATGAGAAGCTTGTCTTATGTAATAAGCAGGATAGAGGGGAGGGGAGCTGGGCTGAGGGATCAGCCCAGCATTGTAATGTACTGATTAGATCTTGTTTCTGCTCTCTGTATTTTCATGATGAAAACCAATAAAATGTACCTTAAAACTGTCCAAGATCAGGATTGTGTTTTATATAAAATGCATTGTTATGTGTGTTCAGGAACTCTGTCTCCTTCAAGAATTGCTTTGGCGTTTTGCACTGGGACGACCAGCAGCTCTTCCACGACAATTCATTCCATGTCTATAGATCCCTTTCACCCCAAATGTTCCCCCAGTGCTTTGTGTATAGAAAGGGGGCTCACCTCACCCACCACTGACGTCCGGCACCCGTAGGAGAGACGCACACAGCTGAGGTGAAAGCTGGCTTCACTTGAATTCAGGGGGAGCGTTACAGTGACCAGACTGTGCTTCTGGGGGACAGAATGGAACCTGGACATGATATCAGGGGTTAATGCTTCTATTCCGACTAGGTTATCTAACGGCCAGGTAGGTGACCTCAGTTGTGCCCCTCATTTTAGGGATGTTTCACGTTTTAGCAATCAGAGATGGATAAAAGGTTTAAATACGAATGAGGAGGATAGGATGCCACCTCGTTTCTGTTGGAGTTAGCCATTTCCTAATTATCCCTTCTTCTTTCCCTGTCGGAGGGACCTGATGACCACAGGCGCCAGCACTGGGTGTTTTTTCAGCGAATAACTATGAGACGGTTCTGTGCACTTTGTGAACTCCTGTCTGTGGTCATTCATGTCTGCTCCATTTTTCCTTAGAATGCATTGCGTTCTCCCAGCATAGCCACTGATAAAGGAGACAGCAGGATGAAGGAATTCATGCCCGAGTCACAGAACAAAACAAATGCATCCGGACTGAATTTGTTTGCATTGTTTCCCTCCCATGCAAAATCTGCATTTTTTGTATTCGTTTAATGTTCTAGAATTAGCGAAAAGGGTGCATTCACCTTTCTCTCTCAGTGCATTTGCTCTTGCTAGGATTGCACGTTTTTGGACCTCTGCAGCAAATCCTCATTATCTCTTTCGCAATCGCCCAGCTCGTACTTGCTATCCCTCCCTGTGTCTTACTTTCTCGCCCTCACCTCCCTTCTCTCTCTCTCTCCCTCTCTCTCAGCACGATAAATTTCCCACTCTCCCTCAAAGGGGTGGTGATGTCAGAGGTGGGGGCTGTCTGGCTGCATCTATAAGTGCGAGAGCCGCCGTGTGTTTTTCTCAATGGAGTGGAGCTGTGCTGCTCTGTGCGCCGCTGGAGAGAGGAAGGGAGAGGACAAGCTGCACCACAGCGCATCCACACAGAAACTCCTGACCGGCTCTGGGAAGAATTCCCTGCCCCGAGCTACAGACTGCCTGACCGACACACTGCTCCCTCCTGGAAATCCACCCAGGGCGGATCACTGCTCTCCTCTTAAGGCCGACAGAAAACCGTTTATTGATGCCTGTTTTCTTTTGGTGAATTTGAGCTTTGATTTTATTATTGTGATTTGTAGTAGTATTTGGAGCTAGCCAAAAGGACGTCGTGCTTTCAGCTGCGATGGAGTGGGCACGTTTGTGTGCCCTGGTGTTCCTTTCCTGCTGTGTGCTAGTGGTAAGTTTGGAAATTGCTCCTTATTAATTGTAGTGCTGTTAATTCTAGGCACTTTATTCTCTCTCTCTCTCTCGTTCTCCATCTCCTCTACCCCTCACACCCCCTGACTGGATTCGGTGTCTTTCCCATCTGTCTGATCTGATGTGAAAAAAAACTGTGCTACAGTGAAGCTCAGAGCAATCGGCTTGCAAAGGGTAGTCCTGGTTTACAAGCGCAGGGCGGAATAGAAACCTGTCCTGGAATAAACTCTGCCTTTTTTTTAGAGAAATAAATTGTTACTTAAGCAATGAAGAATTGCTGAAACCCTTTACAGACTGAGCCTTCCACAGGGGTTTAAGGATCTAGACCTTTTTTTTTTCTGTTCATTGCAATAAGCTTTTTTTGTTTTCTTTCCAAATGTATATTCCAAGTCTAAAATCTTTGTTCAAAGGGGTTTTGTTTTACAAGATATTCACACCGCTCCAGATCCAGGACCTCCCCCGCAGCAGGATGCTCCCATTCTCCTGCAATGCTGCTCCGATAGTTTGCAGAAATGTGTCGTGCTTTTCCTGCTCTGGTCTGCACCTCCGGGTCCCAGTTCTCCGCCGCAACCAGAACCAACGATCGAGATTCTATGGAAGGCATCAGACAGGCAGATCAGAGGGCTTTGATAAATTCTGCCCTCCGTGTAGCAGCTCGTGCATTAGACATGGAAAGTTTTCAGGCAAAAGAAGAGCTTGTGTCCCTGTATTACAGTGATCACCCACCCTGCACTTTTCCCCAAGCTGTGTCAACAAACATATCACTGGGCGTCCGAAGACCTGGCCCAGCTATGTAATCTTGTCTACCTAATTCTTTATCTTTCGTATAAATAGTACAGTACATATAAAGAGGTGAGGTATGGGAGTACTGAGTTTACTGTACAACACATGAGACTGGAGCTTTGGAAATCTCTTAGAATCCACGTGTTTCTGCAAACGGCCATGCCTCGATACTCTGGGCTCTTGCCTTCCTTATCCACAGCCCATCTTTCGCAGGTAGACCGTAACGGGTGCTGAAAGTCACAAAGACCAAGTCCTGTGCCATGATCCTTGATTGCCAGACTTAACACGCTTGCCTCGGTGCATGCATTTCCAATGGATTCAAGAAAACGAAACCTCCTCTTATCGTTTGCGTTTTATGTCTTATTGCCGGTTGATGTTTTTTTTTCAGGTCATTGCATCCAACAGGGGGCATTGGCAATTGTATCGCGCGGCAATTTGTGCGTTTGGCTTTTTCGCCGGCTTGCCCAGGCTGCCAGGGGGTGGGGCGCAGCGGGGCCGGGGGGGGGCTATTGTTGTGCAGACGGAGTACACACGCCGTCTCCCCTTCGGAGCCGGGTCCGTGCGCGCTGAGCAGGCTCGGCGACTGTGTGCTGGCTGAATAGCAGGAAACGCCCATGAGCAGCGCGTGAGCCTGGTCGCTGTAGTGCCCTGTGTACGGTGAAGCTCGTGGAGTGCCTCATCCGCTGGCCATGCAGTTCCCCTGTTCCTCTCCCACCCTCAGGGCTGCTACGAAACCGGGCCTGCTTTTCGACACCCCACACGTCTCCATTCTTCAGTGCTGCTTTGCTGCTCTCTGTTGCATGAACCTTGTCCCATAAAAACGAAACCCTGCGGTGCTTTCGTGGCCTGTGAAATCAAGTCCGCTTAACTAACCCAACCCCCCCCCCAAGCCTGCGGAAATCTCTTAAGCGCGCCCGCTGCTTTACGGGCTCGCTGAATTAAGACACTTTAACAGCTGTGTGGTTAGCTCAGTCGTTTATTGTGTCAGGCCCGGCTCATCAGACGCTTGGAGGAGCGCCCTTCTAACCCCCTCCCTCTCTCTCCTCTCTCCTCGATCTGTCTTCCAGGAAGGCAGTTGCCCGCTGCAGTGCTCGTGCCCTCCCGCGCCCCCTGCCTGCGCCCCCGGGGTGAGCTGGGTGCTGGACGCCTGCGGGTGCTGCAAGGTGTGCGCGCGCCAGTACAACCAGGACTGCGGCCCCAGCCAGCCCTGCGACCACATCAAGGGCCTGCGCTGCCACCTAGGGGCCGGAGGCAGGCCTGACCGGGGCCTGTGCAGAGGTACGCAGGGGGGGCTGGGGTGTGAGGCTGTGTGGAAGGAGGAAGAGGAGAAGAAGGGATCAGTGCAGGAGGAGGGAGGGAGGCCGCCGTCTTTGTCTCGGCCATTGGCTGTCCTGTGGATTATTTTCATTCCAGGAGAATTACGGAACAATAATAGAACCTCATTGTGAGATCTTTGCACCGGATTGAATTTAACACGTAAAACAAGGGGACGCACCAGGGCGTGGCCCCCCTGGTATGAGAGGTGCATTAGTGTGGATCCTTCTCACACGGTCGAGTTTCAGTCCGTAAAAGGCACGCTGGCTGGGACCTTCTGAAATTGCAGATGGTTTTCTTGACTGGCAGCTTAAATCAGAGGCGTTAACCAGGCCTCTAGCTATGGTTTATACTACACTGATGGTGTAGTGCAGAGTTTAATTACAGTGGTCTTTGAATCCTGCTTTTGCATCTGATCTGCTGCTTTAGTCAAGCGTTTAGTATTACAGGTCTGGTTGTGATCATCAGAAGCTTAGCTGCACGGTACCACAGAGTGCAAGGCGCCATCTTGGGGGAGTCAGCGTTGATCTCTGTTTGGGGGGGAGAGACGGCACGTGGGGTCTCAAGCGCCTCTCTGTGCCCCTGCAGCCGAGGCGCAGGGCCGCCCCTGCGAGTTCAGCGGGCGCCTGTACCAGCACGGTGAGGACTTCCGGCCCAGCTGCCAGCACCAGTGCAGCTGCATGGACGGCGTGGTGGGCTGCATGCCCCTGTGCCCGCACGAGGTGCCCCTGCCCGCCCCGCCCTGCCCGAACCCCCGCCTGGTGAGGGCGCCGGGCCGCTGCTGCGAGGAGTGGGCCTGCGACGGCGGCAACCACATCAGCGAGGACCCCCCGGGGGAGCCCCAGCGCACCCCGGTCCCCGACCCCTTCCCCGGGCTGGCCAGCAACGAGCTGCTCGCGCCCACCCTCCAGCACCCCGACGTTCTGCCGGCCTACCCAGGTGAGACAAGGACAGCCCGTCCCGGCTCAGGCGGTCTCCCCCGCCCCTCCCTCCCGCCCTGTCCCATGCTCTCGCAGCCCCGTCCTCTCACCCTCACTCCTCTCCTCCTCCTCCTGTCTCCCGCCCCGCCCCGCCAGAGTGGAGGTCCCTGCCCAGGTCCTCCATCCCGGCTCCCTCCCCCTGCCTGCTGCAGGTCACCGACTGGTCGGAGTGCTCCGCCACCTGCGGCATCGGCGTCTCCAGCCGCGTCACGAACGCCAACCCCGAGTGCCGCCTGGTCAGAGAGACGCGGCTCTGCCAGGTCAGGGCCTGTGACCTTGACGTGACCTCCTCGCTCAGGGTAAGTGACCCCCGGCACCAAGGGCCCCGATCGGTTCGGCGCGGTCCAGGGGCACCTCAGTACCTGTCTGACATGCTGTCCTCCTCGCAGCCTTCGCTCGTCTAATTCTGGTCTCCTGTCACATTAACTGATTGATCACATGACTCCTATCCTGGAGTCCCTGCACTGGCTTCCCATCAAGTTCCGTGTCGACTTCAAAATCCTCCTGCTCGCCTATAAGGCTCTGCATGGCTCGGCACCTCAGGGCCTGTCTGAGCTACTGTCGTCCTGCTCCCCACCTCACAACCTTCGCTCTTCTAATTCTGCTCTCCTGTCTGTCCCCCAAGCCCGTCAACACTCTATGGGTGACAGGGCCTTCTCCTACTGTGCCCCACAGCTCTGGAGCTCTATCCCTGAGGATATCAGAGAGTTGCCGTCTCTAAACTCCTTCAAATCTAAACCTTCTTCTTTAGAAGGGCCTTTTCTTACCTGGTTCTGTCATATACCCCTTTGCTCCTGCTCTACTCCATACTCCCATTCACCATTTCCTCTCATTGTGTATTTTCATTGCATATATATTGTGTATTTTTTCCCCTTTTTGTCGTTCTTCAAAGCGCTTTGAGAAGCCACCTTTGAAGGCGCTATATAAAATACAGTTTTATGATTATTTGTTGTTGTTATAGTTGACCGTATTCCTGTGTCTAAGTCAGCTATAGGACTGGACCCAAAGAAACATGCTCTCGCCCTGTTTCCTTCCCAGAGAGGCAAGCAGTGCCAGCGGACAGTGCGCCCCAGGGAGCCCGTGCGCATCACCTTCGCGGGCTGCACCACGGCCCGCCGGTACCGGCCGCGCTCCTGCGGCGCCTGCGCGGACGCCCGCTGCTGCGCCCCCTCCCTCACCCGCACCGTGCGCCTGCGCTTCCGCTGCCCGGACGGGGAGAGCTTCGCGCGGGCCGTCATGTGGGTCCAGCGCTGCCGCTGCCGGGACGCCTGCCAGCAGGGTGCCGCCCCCGCGGCGGGCTCCCTGCCCTCCGTCCGCCTCCACAACGACATCCACACCTTCGCTCGCTGAGGGGGGGGGGATCGGGCGGCCGGGGCCTGCCCGCACCCCCACCCCCCTCCTGCTGCCTGCACCTCCCAGAGGGCCGGCCCCCCGAGACTCTACTCAGACGCACAGGTCATCCTGTCCTGCCATGATGGACCCTGCAACCTCCTGTCGCGGGGGGACCGGGGCTCGGCGCCTCTACTAAAGAGGGTTTTTAGCCGATCTGTAGCGAGTCACATACAGCCCAGCAAGGATCGCCTTGTTGACAGTACCCTAGCTATGCAATCAGGCTCCGCAGGGCCTAAGATCCATCACTCCTAGAAAACCCTACACTTAGCGGCTCGTACCTGCGTTGCGAAGGGGCCGGTCCAGAGCCACAGAGCCACAGAGCAGCCAGGTGCCCTCCCCGCCACCCCCCACTCTCTCTCCTCCCTCCAACGCCACCCTCCCCCCGCGGCATCACCTTCAGTGGGCAAGTAGAAATAAGTTTCTGCCTAAGGGGCTCGAACCTGACGTGGGTGGGGGATAAAAACAGGCCCAGCAGCATAAAATCAGACGAGCTTCAAAGAAGCAATTTCTTATTGACGACGCAGCTCCCTGTTGGGAACTTTAATGTCACGGAAAAGCTCCTGATTGGAGCTTGTGTCTTCTGGAAGGAGGACCAATTTAATTTGAATCGAAGACGCTTCCTCTTGGATATTAAATATTCTGGAAGCTGGATAAATGCCAGACGAGGCTCCCGATCGGACCCTATTGTTGGATATCTCTAACTGTTCATGTAGCACAAACTCTTTTTCTTTTTTGATCATGCTTTTGTGAAACCTTTCCCCCCAAGTACTTTCACACTATATTCCCATTCCAACGATTTGATGAGGGGAGGATTTAGCTCGTTAATTGGATTCAAAACCTATGTGTTCTTTTCTTCAGATAATCACAGTTTCCAAAAAAGGTTCACGTGAGTTGACTGCCACGTCAAATGTTTTTACACAAGTAATTTAATTTTAACTGTATACACCCATATTCTGGTTTACACGTCAGCTCCCATGGCACCTCTACTGGTGATATTGACATTCAAATGAAAAAATAATTAAAAGAATTATGTGTATAGTGTTACAGAAAAGAAACATAAGTGGGACCAAAGTATTTTCTTTGTAGTGAGATTCCTTAAAAAATAGTGACACAAACCTTATCCGGCAATATAAGCAAAGAAGTCTATTTATTGGTATATTAAAAAAAGCTCTTGATTTCTAGTTTGTTTTTTAAGTACTGTTCATGAACACAAAACAGGAATTATCTGATAGCGCTAATTCCAATTTTTTTGGATGTAAGAATTCAGGCCTATTTGGCTTCTCCTTGATGTTGAATCTAATATGAATGTTTAAGTGTATGAACAGGTAAACTTGCCTGTCCGGATGTGTTTATTATTTTTTAGCATATAATATATATTGTGAACATCATTCCGGTTCGGTGAGTGATCCGCGTGTCTGCGTGAATTCCCGAATGGGCGTGGTTGTGGGTGTGTCCGTGACTGTGCCCCTCCCTTGTGGGTGTGTCCGTGACTGTGCCCCTTCCCTTGTGGGTGTGTCTGTGACTGTGTCCCCTCCCCTGTGGGTGTGACAATGGGCGTATCCATGTAGTTGTCCATCTCTCCTGTCTAAAGAGACTCTTCAAGTATGAATTGAAGTATAAAATTACCCAGACTCTTTCACACCATTTGGCCTTCTCTGATATTAGCAAAGTTCATCTTGCTGATATCCTCCCCTCTGAAAGGCTGTGGATCCTTTTAATGCTTTTGTAGGACCTTTCAGTAAAATCTCTCCGTCATCAATACTCCCTCTAGCAATATGAAACTGGATTTCAGTTTCCAGGTGCCTAAAAACAGACCAGAAAACTTTCAATTTGAAAACATGTTTAAGGGGAGCCGGTTAGCAATAGAAAGGGATGGATTTTTTGTATTCGTCCCCTGATAGTCGTATGGCTGTGTGTGTGTGCACTGTAGCATTTGTACAGACTTCACGCTTGGTGGAGTGACTTTGTGACATTGCTTCATTTTTTTGGGGCTTAGCTAGCTGCTTGACAGAGGCTCTCTTGTATCGGAACGAGACCTGTATATTTAAGACTTCTGCTTTGTTAATATATACCTTGAATGTCTCTCGGTGTCATTAAAAAGTCTCTTTTTTTATGAAAATATTTATAAATATATAAATATCTATTACACTCACGCCAGTCTGACTTTTATTTGAGATCATTTTGTTTTTTTGGTCCATCACCAGTCATTGTCATCTTCCTTGGAGAATCTGGTCTTTACCAATTGTTCATTCCTTCAGTAGTTTCTTTGCTTTTTGACGACATTCCATATTGCTGATTTTTGCTGTGTTAGAACAACTCTCTACGGTTGTTCTAACTGAAGTATATTTTGCTCTTGTCACCACGATTGCCTACTTTTCTGTCACAGACAACTCGTTTTCTGCCTTCGAAATCAAGAGGCAGACCCAGAAAGTAAACTCTGAAGGCTATAAATTAACAGCTCTTTTGTCTTTTCACAATTAATGTAACACAGAAGGCTTGTGCCATTAGAAACCTCGGTCAGCCATTTGTCCCAATACCCACCTGAAATGGGGAGGGAGCGGACTAAATTATATTGCTCTAACACAGTTAAACTTGTAGGCAAAATAACACCCAGAAACAACAGGCAAAATCCTATGCTTTTGCCTGAATCTTTTGATCTGGAATCCAGATTGCATTAGTACAGAGCAAAACTCTTCCTTCATGGCGCCAGACAGGGGTCAGACCCCAGACCCTCGCAGATCGATCAGCATCCTGCACGCACCTCTGCCTGGGTCTGCTCTGGACTACAGCACAGCTCACCAGGTCCCCCAGCTGCAAGCCGGAGGCTGTGCAAAAGAGTACGTATTTGATGGCTCTCGATGGTCTCATCTGTCAGGGACTCTTCACTGGAAGCGTGCAGGCCAGCCCTCATGAGGCACAGAGGCTGAGAGGTGGGGGTTGGCAAGGGAGGGTAACAAGACTGGCCTCTCTGACCCTGTCAGATCTCATGCGCTGCCAGTTTTGTACACACAGACCGGCTCTGCACCTCAAACATCACACCCAGCTCGCAAATTTCACACTCGGCCCCCTCCCCCCCCCCCGCCACCCCAGTGCCAGCAGGAACTGGCCCAATTTGGAACTGGTCCGTTGTGTTTCGTTGGTGATTAAAGGGGTTTCCATGATGGCGAGCAAGCCAAGAGGCACTGTCAAACAGGAAAACGGGGCTTATTCCTGCAGGATGTTGAAAGATGCTGGTCGGGGCTCTGGCTGCAGGTGCTTGTGGGATATCTAGTGTGTCTTTAATTTTGGGGGGCGGGGTGGGATCAGAGAGGTTTTGATGGGGGAGGGAACTGCAGTTTTGTCAGAGCGGCGATCACACCCGCTGACACCCGCGCGCGATGTTCCAGATGCCGTGCCAGATGCCACCAACAGGTTACCCAGACCTCACTCTGAGGCTGACCTCTTCTCCGCCTGCAACCTCGGGCCGCACCTACTGATCCACGTCAACTTTGAGCCTTTGGGACCTGGGACTCTGGTGCCCCGCGCCAGGCTCGGGGTTCTTGTGATTCCTGGGAATATCCCTCCACCCGTTTTTCTGGGGGAGGATGTCCGCGTAAATCGCAATACGTTGCATCGCGAAGGATTCCTTCGCGTTGCAGGCGCTGGCCTGTGTCGTATCTGTCTGGCTCTTTCTCACAAAAACAGGACGCCTCAGCCCGGGATGAAGATTCCTTCAAGGTCATACAATCCGAAACAGACAAGCCAGCCCCCCCCATCCACAGCTCCATATTGTCTATAGCTTTGCAAACATCGCCTAGCAACGCTGCCTAGGATTGTCTGCCCGGCCTGTCTCGCTCGTTGGCTCTCTGTTTCCATGGAGTCCAGCGTCAAAAATAATTGCAATATGGGGGTATGATGACTCTTTAAAACAAGGTTATTTAAACTGCGCCGCCTTCTGCCATGCGAGTTTGCCGGGGTCGAGGGTCTGTCACTAGGTGACAGGCTGAGGCCTACTCTGCTGAGCATGAGAGTCGTTCCACTGTTGCCCCGGCGACGGGCCCAGACACCCCCTGCCCCTGTTTTCCTCTGGGGGAAACGGGAACTGGAGCTATTATTGGTCATTTTTACGCTGAGTTTTACACTTTTCTCCCCACAGAAAGTCGCCCCGACCCCCTTGTTTGCCGTGTCAGGGTGAATTGCGCCAGGCTCATCGGGGGAGGTATTGCACACAGAGCCGGTGTCCCGCGGCAACAGCACTCCCAGAATGCCAAGGGCCCAGAGAGGAGCCCTCTGCCCTTATATGTGAACTGGGCTTTTTTGTTGACAAAACACAAAACACGGGACTTTCTCCCCGTCACTCCTCTTCGGGGTGCGTCCAGCGGCCCAGGTGTCAGCTCGGGGGGAGGTCTCAGTCGGTAATAACAAGCCCTGGGGGGGGGGGCGATGGCAGCAGGCTGGTGAGTCCACAGCAGGCCCGGAGGGAGGGGGTACTGGGTTTGTCTGAGGGCTGCTACTGCTGCTGCTGCTGCAGTTGACATTGGCTGAGAAACCAGACAGGAAGTGCCAGGTGCTGTCCGGCCTCGCGGGGCCCTGTGACTTTCAGCACTGTACCGACAGAGGAACAGGAAATGTGCTGGAAAGGACAGGGGAGGGGTTCTCTGGGGACATGGGGTCAAGGATCGAACAAGGGAGACACCCCTGTGCGGCCCCCCCCCCCCCCCCCCCCCGCCTTTCCACAACTCTCAGTCCTTCCTCCTGTTTGTGTTTCTTCCAGCGCCCCCCCACCCCAGAGCACTATGGGATACCGCGGATCTCTAGCTCATCCCTGCGGCGGGATCGCGGGCAGCCGGAGCCGGGTCTGAATCCCAAGGGCTCAAGGTGAGGCTGGGAGCACACGACGCACAGCCCACCCCCGGGGAGGTGGTGTAGCGCAGGTGGACTTCGCCTCGAGCTTCCCTCCGAGGTCGCCTGCCTGCCTCTCTGGGCCCCTGGCATTCTGGGAGTGCTGTTGCCGCGGGACACCAGCTCTGTGCGCAATAACTCCCCCAATGAGACACTTTACCCTTTACTCCCAGCCTGGCGCAATTCACCCTGACACGGCAAACAAGGGGGGGGCAACAGGGCAAAGGGGCAATATCAAACGAAGCACCGAACCTAGCTGGATTGTCCTCAGGTGGTGCGAGGAATCCCAAGCAAACACAGAGACAGGACGCGCAGACTCCTCACAGACAGACCCCCCCCCCAAAATCTGAGTCAGTCCCAGAACCCTGGTGCTGGGAGGTAGTTGCACTAACTAACACACCACTGTGACCCCTCAGACTTTAGTATAGAAATCAAGTGTCTAGAATCATATTAACAAAGATTTATTTATTTATTTTACTTCTGTCTGGTTTAGTATGGGGTGGCATGGTGGTGCAGTGGTTAACATTGGTGCCTGGCAGCGCGGGGGATCCGGGTTCAATTTCAGACCTGGGGTGCTGTCTGGGTGGAGTTTGCATGTTCCCCCCCCTGTGTTTGCATGGAGTTTGGGTGGGTTTTCCATCCTGGTAGGTGAATTGGCCCTGGTGTGAGTGTGTGTGGGTCCGTGCGTGCCCTGCGATGGACTGGCGTCCTGTCCAGGGTGCACCCTTCCTTGTGCCCGTTGCTTGCCAGGATAGACTCCCGCTGCCCTCCGACCCTGAAACAGATAATGCCCTGGAGATGGATCGATTAGAAAAATAGATGGATGGTTTCAGTATGATAACCGTTGTGTTAGAGTGGATGAGTGAATCAGAGCAGAGTTTGGGAATCAAGGAAGAGCAGAGCTGAACAACAGCTGTAGTTTTCTTGCACTGTGAGATGAGTGCCCCCCAGTGGTTACTACTGTGCTCTGCAGAGTTGAGGAATATATGAACACACAGTAGTGGACTGATTTCCCTGAACGCTGATTACTGGTCCAAAATATTCTCCCCCCCCCCAACTCGTTAACCTTCCGAAACATCCGCGTGCTTTTCTCGAGGGCGGAATGCGTAGTGTCAGCTGGAGGAATCTGAACTGAACAGACGATGAAGTTGCATCGGCGTGTTAAAAAAAAAAAGGGCACCTGCTTTGCAGTTGCATCTGATAAGATAAGAAAAACAGCCGAGTTCAGAGAAAGACATCATTTGAGAATTTCGGGGTTAACTTATCTTTCTTTTTCCGGACAGAACTGCCCCGGCTGGTTCTGTGTTTTGCATCTACCAGGGGATGTGGAGGTGATGACGCACAGTCCCATATCTCCAGCTCTGATCGCTGGGATTCAGCCGATATACGCAGAGTTCCCAGAAACTGCAAGTGGGTTTTAATTTCATTCTCTGGAACTTTCCAATCCACACCAGCTGTGTCTACGTCTCTGCCTTTCCTTAGATACGGGATTTGATTCCTGGATCGCAACACCATGCGGTGTGGCTGTGCATTGGGGATTCTGCTGGTGTGCATCTCTGCTGTGCATCTTCTCTCTGGGAGCAGTGAAGGTGAGACCCTCTACTCTCTGCTTCTGCCTCTTCATCGTTTGTGTTCTTTCTGTATTTTCCTGCATCTCAGAACTTCCGGTCCTTTTGATGCTGTTGCTTTTTAGCTTTTTATTGATCTCAGAAAAACAGGCTCCAGATACCATTGAGTTTTGAATTAATCCTCAAGCAGAGACAGGGGCAGCCAAGGAGTCGTCAGCCACTGTTTGGGGAATCCCCACAGAAAAGCAGAAACTGCACTCTGCAGTCTAGTGTGGCTGTCTGGAAAACAGAGCCTGTCCAGTCCTGTTCCTGGAGGGCTGGTCAGTGAATCTGTAGACTGTCCAGTCCTGGTCCTGCAGGCCTGGTCAGTGTGTGTCTGCAGAGTGTCCAATCTTGGTCCTAAACGGCTGGTCAGTGAATCTGTAGACTTTCCAGTCCTGGTCCTAAAAGGCCAGTTAGTGTATTTGAAGGGCTGTCCAGTCCTGGTCCTGGAAGGCCAGTTAGTGTATTTGAAGGGCTGTCCAGTCCTGGTCCTGGAAGGCCAGTCTGTGTATTTGCAGGACTGCCCAGTCCTGTTCCTGGAGGGCTGGTCAGTGAGTCTGTAGACTGTCCAGTCCTGGTCCTGGAGGGCTGGTCAGTGAAACTGTAAACTGTCCACTCCTGGTCCTGGAGGGCCAGTCAGTGTATTTGAAGGGCTGTCCAGTCCAGGTCCTGGAAGGATGTTGTGTGTCACAAGATTTTCTTTCCAGCTCAACCCTGATTGAACTAAATCAGCTTGTTATTGGCTCAACAGGATCAATAGAATAGCTTCTCCCAGCAGCTCCCTCTGCATCAGGCCTGGACACAGTAGAATGTGTGAGAACTTGCAATGGTTGTTCGGACCTGCGGTTCTGTTTTCTGTGATTAATAACCCAAAAAAGAGTTACAATCATATCAAATATTTCATGTTTAAGGTGGGGGACCTAATTCACCTAGAGCCTACAGCATGAGGACTCCCTGAAAAGACCTTTGGGACACTTAACTTCTTATTAGGAGTCAGAAAACTTTTTAAATACAATTAACTGGCCTATATCTTTTTTTTTTCCCCAGCAACAGAGAGCATTTCATTAATCCAGGATGCTGCTCGCCTTCATGACTTGCCTGGTGAGTGAGTCTCACAGGACAGGGGGAGTTTGGACTGTGATCTTCTGTTGTTACAGCAAGAAGTGAAAGGATTGGCACTGAACTGACCCTAAGTACTCTCAGTTTTAGATGTAGAATAAGGTTAATGAGTGAAGGGAGATACTGAAATGATTCTAGAGCAGACAGAAGAGGACACTGATGGAGTTCATTGTCATAGTAGGGGGATGAATGGCTGTTCAGCAGCTTGAATTTCAGGGTATAATGCAACTGGTGAAAATGTAGTACAAGCCTTTCCATCTCCTTTGCTGTTTGGATAGCAAAGCCATCTCATTAATTTGCCTGTTAGCAGGTTATGGATCTGAAGATCTGTAACCTGAAGGGGCCACAGTGAATCTGTTTCCGCAACATCACCGGTTAACCTGTTCCAGGCACCCACAACCCTTTGCGTACAGAGCTGCACCCGTTGCTGCTTACAACATACCCAACTGGTTTCTCTGTTGGGGGGGGTCCCTTCCGAAATGTGGAAGCCTGGTACGAATCGCGTTGGCTCGTCGCCTTCACTCGCGGGGCTCAGGTCGACGGAATGAAGCTCTCTTGCCGCGAGGCCGGGGGAAAAAAAACCCCAAACCCACGCTGGTCTGGAGGTGACGGCGATTGTGTTGTTCCAGGTGGGGGCGCCCTGGCCAGGGACACGGGGAAGAGGTCAGCGGTGAGGCGTGGCCACCGTGAGTAGCCCTCAGTCTGTCTCCCTCCCTCCACACATCTTGCCCCCTGTCACTCCCCCTCCTGCTCGGATGTAATAATAATTATAATAATAATAATTGCTTACACTTATATAGCACTTATATCCCATTGTCACGATTATAGTCCCCCCTCCTTAAGGGTGCTCCAGCCCTCTCACTTTAGACTTAATTCTGTGCACCTGATCCCTTCTCCCAGCCCACCTTAAAAGCCAGGCGCTGACGCTCATCCTGGCTCTGTAGCTGGTTTTCGCACCGTGCGAGTCCGGGACCTGGAAGCGCCTGGTCCCGTTAAGGTTTTAACCTCTGTTCCCGTTCCATGTCCGCCGGTTCCGACCCGGTTCGTGTTTTTAATTCCTGTTTGGATGGATCACCTGGCTATGGACTTATTCTTGTGTTTTGGATTCGCTCTATGGATTACTTTTGGATTGTTTGCTTTGGCCACACCTCCCCTGTGCACCAGCGCATTTTGGACACGCCCCCCTGTTTTCAGCTCCGTATTCCTGCATGACGTTTTCCTAGTGTTTCCCCACGGATTGTGTCGTCCGCATAGGGTCCGAAAAGAACTGTTCGTTACACCCATGTGTTGCCAATCAAGTAGAAGAGGTGGGAGTGTTTAAGAGGGGAAGACGAGACCCGAGAGATCGGATACGGGGAACGGAGACGGTGGAGTGCTGTGGGGGTTTTGGGACGTGTTGTATGTCTTTTTGTTTTCGGTTAGTGTGGATGGGTGTAGACTGCGGAAGACTTTTTTTTTTGGTACGGCCTTATTGTTTAGGCACAACCACCGTTCCAGTTGTCTCTAGTTTGTGGTCAGTTCTGCTTGGAATACAAATGTTGACTTCCGGTTCCCTGGATTTGCAATGATAATAAAGTTGATTTGTTTTCCCAGGGGAATCCAATCTCCCGGGTGTCCTTTTTCTTTTAGGTTGCAGCTTTTTTCCCCCCTCCACCAAAAATGACAACAGTAACCCATTAACATTCATACTGGTTTAAGCAATAAAAAAAAACCTAGTCCTTACCTAGCTGTCATTAATCATACTGAAGAACAGTATGATCCTTTCTTTTGCTTTGTGCAATTACATACAATTTTCATTAACACCTTTAGGACCCATAATAGAGTTCTTACACTAAAAGCAAGACATGGCAAACGGCATCACATCTCTGCTGCTACTCCATAGCTCCGCGAGTTCTCACCCAGAACTAGTTTGTGGAACGTGATGCGAACACTCGACAAGTCAAATAATAATTCCCTACACTTATCTGCACTTTTCTGGACTCTCCACTCAAAGCGTTTTACAGGTATTGGGGATCCCCTCCACCACCACCTTACATCCTTCGGAAACAAGCAAAGGAGGATTTAATAAAATCATAGTGTGAAAAGTTAAGTTCTGCCTAATTAGGATGCACTCTTTCTGTTTGCAGATCTGTGGAAATATCTGAGGAAGGGAAGGTAGAGCGACGCCCTCGGCCCCCTACTGGCTATGAGCGGAATTGCAAGTATAACATTTGCAGGCGAGGAGGGAACCACACAGCAATTTATATGAAATAAACTGCTGACCTCAGAGAGCCGTGCTACTTTCTGGAATGGAATTCATAATATCTGTGTGATCTTAAATCTGCCTCCTATTAATGTGGCAATGGCTCCTTTTCTTCCCGATGTTTGATCCTGAGCACACACGCACCTGTATAATAATGCAGTTAGTGAAATTCCAACTGGAGTGTAGCCCCACTGCACAGCAGATCGAAGGGAGAAATTAGCAACTGCGATTCATCGATTGAGTTCAGATTAGGAAGGCCAGGTTATGCTAGACCAGGGTACAATTTAACCGGGACATTGGAAGTTGACACCGCTGAGCTCTTTACTGACCAAGTAGTCAGGGCATCAGTTCAATGTCTCATCCGAAGGACAGAACTTTCTACAGCCCAGTATTCCCATTCACCAAACTGGGGCACTGGTTAGGAACTTGTGGTACAAATGCATAGGCGCCACCTACTGGTCCACCAGCGCTACTTACAGCAGCTGTTTTTTTTCCTCCCAGCCCAGAACTGACCTGCGTAGCATCTGAACCCCGACAAGATAGTCATTAGCTGTGGTGTGCCCTCTCACCCTGCTTTAGGCCATAGAAGTAGTTCAGGTGGGGAGCTGTCAGCATGCGCAGGCTGCAAAGGAACAAGTAAAGGTTTATTCCCAGCAGAAAAGAGGAGAGAGGAGAAAACGTCTCAGTTTTTGAGCCTGTGTCAGAGCTTGTGCTGGGTTTCCTTTCTTCTCTTTTCAGCACAGAATAAACTTTTACCTTTTTAGCCAGCAGCTCTGTCACCCTGCTGCTCACCGCTGGCAGCCCCACTGGAGCTCAGCAGGTGGGAGCCTGGTCAGTACCTGGATGGGAGACCTCCTGGGAAAAACTGAGGCTGCTGCTGGAAGAGGTGTTAGTGGGCGCTCACCCTGCGGCTCATGTGGGTCCTAATGCCCCAGTGTAGTGACCGGGACACTATACTGTAAACAGGCGCCGTCCTTTGGATGAGACATAAAACCGAGGTCCTGACTCTCTGTGGTCATTAAAAATCCCAGGGCCTTTCTCGAAAAGAGTAGGGGTGTTACCCCGGTGTCCTGGCCAAATTTCCCCCTGGCCTTTACCAGTCATGGCCTCCTAATAATCCCCATCTCTGAACTGGCTCCATCACTCTGCTCTCCTCCCCACTGAGAGCTGGTTTGTGGGGAGCGTTCTGGCGCACTATGGCTGCCGTCGCATCAGCCAGGTGGGGCTGCACATTGGTGGTGGTGGAGGGGATCCCCATTACCTGTAAAGCACTTTGAGTGGAGTGTCCAGAACAGCGCTATATAAGTGTAAGCAATTTTAATTATAATTATTAATTTACTCGTTCCGTTATTTGCTAGAAGGCTACATCATTGGCATGATGTGAGCTTATATATGGCCGTAGAACACTCTATCAAAAAGAGTAAGGAGACGTCTTACCAAATCAGACAGATTTCCACGCAGGTAAACACAAAGACATATCGATGGCAGGCAGGGCACAGAAATGCACAACTCCCATTTCTAGAAGAGTGTGCCCAGGCTGGATACACAGGCTGTGCCCCCTGAGCTTTTGACCAGCTGCTCCGAATCTCTTTCACTGCTCAGTCTGCGTCTCGCCCATCTGCGGAGGTAATTTAGCCTTTGAAGGACAGAAAGCTACAGGGAACAATGATGCCCCCACCTCACTTGACAGCCAGTGAAAGTGTTTCTCTGGGGGTCTCCAGCCCCCTGGCTGTTATCAAAGGCCAGCTAGCTCTGATCACTCTGCCTTTTTATATGCACGGGATTTTAACCATGAAAGCTCAGCCCCCATTTCTCACCTAGAACAACTCCATTGTCCTCTCTGAGAAAGGAGTGTGTTTGTGCAGGGGGTCATTCTCACAGACCACAGTGGGGATCCCCTTCTTTAGTATTTACACCCTGTTAATGAGGTTCTAAAAGGGACAAAGCTGTGGAAGTTTTTTTAATTAATATGTGCCAGGGCTGACACTTCCATGGATAATTAGAAGGACAAAGATTCAGAGCATTACGGTTTCACAGAGGCCTGTGTGGGAGATCCAAACAAAAAGAAATGTGTGTGTGTGTGGCGCTTAGAGATCTTTAGTGACTGTTTGTCTCCACCGCTAATAATACCGCTGCCAATAATATCTTTTCTATGTCATACTTCTTTGGAAATGCAATCTACTGGGGAAAGGCATCAACAGCTCTTTGTAGAGTCATGAGTTAGTATTAATAATAATAGAGGTGGCAATTGCACCAGCAGCAGCAATAAGAATAATTACACTTATATAGCGCTTTTCTGGACACTCCACTCCAAGTGCTTTACAGGTAATGGGGAATCCCACTACCACCACCAGTGTGCAGCCCCACCTGGATGATGCGCCAGTCCGCTCCCCACACACCAGCTATCAGTGGGGAGGAGAGCAGAGTGATGGAGCCAGTTCAGAGATGGGGATTATTAGGAGGCCATGATGGGTAAAGACCAGGGGGAAATCTGGCCAGGACCCCAGGATAAAACCCCTATTTTTTTTTTAGAAACACCCTGGGATTTTTAATGACCCATGAGAATTGAATCAAGACCTCAGTTTTAAGTCTCACCAGAAGGACAGCACCCTTTTTACAGTATAGCGTCCCCGTCACTATACTGGGGCATTAGGACCCACACAGACCGCAGGACGAGCGCCCCCTACTGGCCCCACTAACACCTCTTCCAGCAGCAGCCTCAGCTTTCCCAGGAGGTCTCCCATCCAGGTAGTGGCCAGGCTCCCACCTGCTGAGCTCCAGTGGGGTGGCCAGGTAGGAGCTGCGGGGTGATATATCTGCTCACAGCGAGCTGCAGTAGCTGCTGGCATCCGTCATAGGAGCAGTAGAGGTGGTGGAAGACGCAGCAGCAGCAAGGGAAGCAGCAGTTGTAATGGTAATAGAAACACCGCAATGCGATCTGCTCAGTCCAGCGCAAACAGAGCACGTTCGGCGTCTCACAACAGCGGCGAAAGTGCGACAGCCAATCACGTTCGGGAGACGGGCTGCGGAAGAGAGGATCGACTCCCGGGCACCAGCGGAGGACCGGCGTCACAGTCTTTGGCGTCTTGATCTGTTGCGATTGACCTTCTGGCGTTTCTGGGTCGCCCTGTTGTGTCCACGGCCATTTATCCTCCCCCCACCACCACCACCACCACACCACACACACACATGCAGTTCCCTGGGGCATACAGTGCACGTTTCTCTTTCTGAAGAGGAAACGAATTCCTCCTAAATCCTCCTTTTAACACCAGGATCAGAAGGACATGTCCTCTTCTTCTGCATTGTCTCCCCTCCGCCCTCCTCTCTGCGTGGCCCCCCTCCTTCCCCAATGCAAACACTACAGTGAGCAGGGGGGGGGGGCTTTGTTTAGGAATTAGGGATGTGTTTGAAGTCAGCCTGGCGGTGCAGTGTGAGACACCCAGACAGTAGGAAGATGGCTTCATTGTGGGAACCAGAGGGGACATCCCCACATAGTCGATACTCCCCCTGAAGATTTGGAAATCTTTTTTTTCCCCCGATTCATGGTACAGGAGGTAGGGGGGAAGGCGGATCTGACAGATCTTGAGTCCTGGGTGACATTCTGACTGGGGGATCCTTCCGTGTGGAGCTTGCACGTTCCCCACGTGTTTCACCCCTCCCCCGGCGTGAAGTCCAGTCCTGGTGAGTGTTCCCGTACTTGCTGGACACACTCTGGGTCATCATGGCCCTCACACAGATCTGTAGACATCAGACAAGGAGGGGCCTGCAAGAGAACAGGAGGCGCTCCTTTACACAAAGGGTGGTGGGAGAGTGGAGCAAGCTGCCGGGCCATGTTGTTGAAGACGATACCCTGGCTCCTTTCAGTAAGTTTCCTGGCCAAATTTCCCATTGGCCCTTACCAATCATAGCCTCCTAATAATCCCCCTCTGTGAATTTGCTTCATTACTCTGTTCTCCTCCCCACTGAGAGCTGGTGTGTGGGGAGCGTTCTGGCGCACTATGGCTGCCGTCGCATCATCCAGGTGGATGCTGCACATTGGTGGTGGTGGAGGGGAGTCCCCATTACCTGTAAAGCGCTTTGAGTGGAGTGTCCAGAAAAAGTGCTATATAAGTGTAAGCAATTATTATTATTATTATTATTATTAAGTGGTTGGATGAGATCTTGTGAACAATTAGCAACAGACTTACACCTGCTTCCCAACCTCAAGTGATAAAGACGCCTAACAAGAGTTTCAAATGACCCGATTCAACTCGTTATTACGACAACTTAGCCGCGGAGGTAGTACACTGATCACACCTCCGTAGTTCCTGTTGATTATTGTAATTCCCACATTTAACCACAAGGTGTCGCTAGCAATTCAACCCTGTTTTCTTCGTGTAGCTTCGTGAAAGCGGCCCTGACGAAAGCGTGGCGAGGAGAAGCCAGATGGGTTTTAAAAAATAAGCTCCTGCTGCAGTGACGTAGTCACAGCTTGATCTGTATGAATGACTACAGAACTTCAGTCCCCTCCCGGGTCCCTATCATCCTATTTCCGCAAAGTCCCTCCCGGGGGGCTCTGGAAAATAACGACTAGAACGAAAAAAGTTTGTAATTGTCAGCTCAGAAACCGTGGCCGTACGGTGTATTTATTAATCAAAACACAATGAGGAATGTTCCGAAAGTGATCATCTATAGGTACTTAGTAGTGTGGATGGATGTCAGAAGAATTTGCAAAAGGCTCGTAAACACATCTTTAAAAATGTTTAAATGCACGATTTACAGTCCCGTTATGCTCATTTTGATGAGTGTTGCGTTGGTTTGTACAGTTGGTTTGATGCAAAGTCGCCTTTCAGATGAATAATTTGCGTTACGAATGAACAACAACAGCAATAATAATAATAATAATAATAATAATAATAATAGTTTTCTGTTCTATTGCATGCAGGTGGCGTCTCTGCGCTAACAGCCTATTCCTAATCATCATCCAGCGCCCCCTAAAGACTCGGTGGGGGCTCAGGGGGTCGGACAGCATAAAGGCACGAGGGTCATACACTGTGGGGGGTGAAAAGAGAAAGTCCATATGAATGTTCCCATGAATTCTTCCCGTCTCCCTGCGGGGCTGGCAGCTGGGGGCTGCCGGGGGGAGCGCCCAGCGAGCTGGCCGGGCGGCGGTGTGCGCCGTCCGGGGGGGGTGGCTCACTGACAGCCGCCGCGGCAGGCCCGTTGATCCGCGGGCCCGGGGTGGGGAGGGGGGTCCCCAAGTTCCTGGCGCTCACGCCGGCCCGGTTGACGGCAGTGTGAATGGACCTCAAACGCCGTCTTTGTGCGCCTTTGTCCCGCTCCGCGTTTGAAGTGCTTTGTTATGCTAAAGGCCGATCCCGCAGTTCTGAATGGAGTTTCCTAGTCCCGCGGATCTGCAACCCAAACCATCCTTTACAGTCAGTACTACCCCCCTGCATATTTATCAGCCATTTAAAGGGTATCGGATTCTCAACTGATCTCTGCACACAGCCGCCCACCGCCTTTTCAGCGCCCAAACCAGATTAAAACAAGATGAAGAGGCAAGGCGGTGGGGTCAGGCCGCACACGCACGGAGAAGTTTGGGAAAGCCGGGAGTCACGAAGTTAAAAGCCCTCGCTCGGGGGGGTGGGGTGTTAAAGACCCCGTCCTCCCTTGCTCTATGACGGCCCTCTTATCTCTCGAGCAGCCAGACCAGACAAACCGGTTCCATTTCCTCCTCGGTCCTCGCCTATTGTGTGCGGCTGTCGGCGGGCACAACCGAAACCCACGCCACGGAAAGTCGTTTTCGCTCGCCGCTTGCCTTTAAAATACGGGTTTGAAGTCTTTTTGACTTCCAAGAACGGGGCGTGACCCCTACACGCGTGGGTTGGGGGGTGGGGTCGTAACTGTTTAACCAGTTACAACGCAGTCAGGCCAGAAAGGCAGAAAAGACACGAGTTGATCTCCTCGGCTCTGGCGACGGCCGGAGCCCTCGAGTGTGCTTTCGCCTCTGCGAAACTCCTCGGTTTGTTTCCGAGCTCGGCAATAAAATTCCCAAATCCGTGACTACAGCGCGACGCAGAATTGTGCGTAATTAGGCCCCAGTGCGCGTTGCTATTTTCCTCTCCGGATATTTCTGATGCACCGAAATTACAAAAGAAAAGAAAAAAACACGTCACCACTCTGGATAGCTGGATAGCACCGGCTGTCCTTAAATTACCGATAAAAATTTGGGGGGCCCCCGTTCACGGGAGAGAGAGAGAGAGAGCCGTGCTTTGAGTTACTCGCTAGGAGTGGTTGTGAATTTTAAACGTGGCTAATTAGCTCAGGAAGGGGCACGCAAGGGCTCTGGTACAAGACCATAATTATGATGTACGTCCAATTAAACGAAGGACTCCTGGTCCACGGCGCTCGCTGGAGACCGCGGCGCCTGGATTAGCGATCCCGCACTCTCGCTGCAGGTGCGGCCCGGCGCTTGGGCGCGTTAGTCGGGCTGCGAGAGGGGAGGCTATAAATATCCCCATAATTAAAGGCGATGACAGGAATCCACTCCGGGCTCGCTAGCAAATCATTCTGGATGTCATTCAGTGGTTACGGAAAGTATTTTCAACTCTTAAAACCTATAAAATGTGCAGCGCGCTGCCCAGACCAGCAAGGGAACGTCGTGCAATTCCTTCTCTCTCTCTTCCCCGTCCAGAACGTCTTCATCAAATTGCCCCCTCCCGCTCGATTTTCACACGCATAAAAGTAGGTGCGTATATTTCTTCTGTCGCTCTTTCTTTCTTTTTAGATAAATCCGATCGGTGTTCCACCGGGGGGACACTTGGTGATCCGAGTTCAGATGGCATCTTGTAAATCTTTTAATCTTCGACTGGCGGAGAACGCGTTTCGAGACGGGACAGGTCGACGTCGGAACAGGTCGTGAGATTGGTAAAACTAACATACACACACAAGTGAGACGTCTTTAGTTTTTTTTGGTAATTGAGCGAACAGGACCGTGAGATTGCTACACAAACTTAAAACTAACACACACACACACACAAAGTGAGACGTATTTTGTAATTAGCAATCTCACCGGGCCTGTTCGCTCAATTACAAAATACGTCTCACTTTTTGTTTGTGTTACAGTTTGTTTAGCAATCTCGCCGGCCCTGTTCCCTCAAACTTCAACACTCACACACACACAAAAGTGAGACGTATTTTGCAATTGAGCGAACAGGGCCGGTGAGATTTAACAGCAATTCGGGTGCTGTTTTGTTTTGTTTTTTGGGTCAAAGAGACGATACTGCGGTATGAGACACCCTTCAGGGCTCTTCAAAGGCTGAAGAGTTTAATAGTCCAGCGCGCAGCCTGACGCATCGGGCAGCATGAGGAGTTTTTCTTGAACGGTGTGTGTGTGTGCGTGCGCGCAGGTCGCGTCAGACTGGGCTGTCGCGCGTGGCGGGAGCAGACTGGAATCCGAATCCACGGGGCTCTCGCTCATTTTGGCTCTCGAGCCCGTCCAGATGTTCTGGTCCCTCGCTGGAGCGCGCGCCGCATACCAACATCCTCCGGCGCGGAGCGAGGCCTCCTGCATCCAGACCCTCGCGCTCATGCTGCTCCCTTCTCTCTTCCCAGATATATATTTGAATCGTCACTTTTCTATAGATATACACACACACACCCCCGTGCTTAATACGTTTAATGATTGACGTATTTATAAGTACATGTGTTCCATACGTATGGTTTTTTTGTAAACGCACACACACACAAAGCTATTTTTGAATACAGTCCTCCGCCCTTCTGTTATTTTATGAGCGTTGGGAGGACGGAACTCGTGTCGCCTTTGGGAACTGGAATTGTGTTTAATGTTTACTTAATTGGAACCGGGAGCTTGTCCTTCTGCGGCGCAAGACAGTACCCCCTCATGCTATAAACAGCGGGGCCTATCAGTATTATTGAGAGCCGCTGTCTTTTTTATTTTCCCCCGTAGATGCTTATAATTGAGGTAACAGGTGTGGTTAAACTGGCCCTGCCCTTGACCGCCACAGACCCCTGCCGGCGGTGAGTTAGCTCGTCTGCTGTTCGATCGGGCGGGGGAGACAGCAGGGGATTGTGTGATTAAAATCCAAATAGGAACTAGTGCTCGGTTCTAGCCCGGCTAGAGAGAGCCACGCTTCTTCCCCGCCTACCGAACTGCTTTCAATGCAGGATCTATGGTATATTTACCCAGTTGTATACCGCACAATTACGAGTTCTTTTTTGGATGACAGTTTCTAGCAATGGTAGTCATTCCCCCTCAGAGCTCCGCACTTCGCCCGTCGCCATGAGCAGGGGGTCAATTCGCTATACCGCGCGGTTGAAACCGAGGACAGGGGACACCGCTTCAGGCCGAGCCTGGTGCGGGCCCGGAACTGGCCGTCCGACCTGACGGCTGAAAGATGACCCTGGAAACGAGCCATCCCATTCTTCTCCTTTGCCAACTTCCCTGTGCTGTCTCCAGGCTGTGTGATCTGCCGGCGGGGGAGGATCATCGATCCCAGACATCCTAGTTCTCACGAATCAGCCCCGTGTAGCCGTGACTAGGTCTCGCACGGAGACCGATGTAGCCACATCAAGCCACATGGCCTGAGTTTTGGGGATGGATGGGGGGGCGGGGAAGGCAGTGACGAGCGCTGGAGAAAGAGAGACAGGAGAGCGAGCGGACGGGACCGGACTCGGCGGCGGGGTGATTACGAGCGAGCTAATGAGGGCACGAGAGAGCAGTTCTTCAAACAGACATCGATCATGCTGTCAGACGCCACGCCCCCTTCCCTGCTCAATGGCTCCGGGGGGGGAGGAGGCTGCACCCCCTGTGACGTCACAAAGGAAGCATTTAAAGGCCCGCTCGCTCTGAGTCTGGCGTGAGTCTTTCCGGTGTGGCGTGTGCGGGCTGTGCTGTGCGCTTCCAGATTGGACAAATTCGGATTTTTTTTTGTTTGGTTTGGTTTCCTTCTCTCCTTGAGCGTAGAAAGCTCCGCGCCCGTCCCACGCCGCATTCACGTGCCGACGCGCCGCCCCCCCCTCCTTCTTTTGGGGGGTCCTTTACTAAACTATTAGTCTCGGACGCGGGCGCGCCTTTAAACAGGACAGGAGCTCGCCGAGAGGGGACCGAGCGGGGCTGTGCTTCTCTCCGGTCTGTCCTGCTGTACGATAAGAAGAACAGACTTTTCTTTTTTTTTTTTCTTCCCCCTGTCGGTCTTCCGGGGGAGGGATACGGCAGGACTTGAGGGCTGAATCAAGTCCACGAACAATTTGTTTTAAAGTGAATTTCCCCCCCCCCCCGCGGGACGGCTTCGTCTTGTGATCTGCACCTCCGCGGGACGGGCGACTGCTTGCGCGCTGCCCGGCAAGGTGAGTTGTCTCTCGCCTCTTCCTCCCGGTCTGTGGTTCGGGGTTGCGCCCGGACTCTGTCTGTCTTGCTCCCGGCGGTGTCGCACGCCTGGAAATCGGAGGGGATTAAAATTCTCTGCAGGGTCCGAAGGTCCGTGTTTTTAAGTTCCAAACAGACAGCAGGCAGCGTCCCCCGGGGTCCGGGCATGGGCGGCGTGCCAGGCGAGGGAGACGAGAGCGATCGGGAGTAGTTTCCCTGCCGGCCGGGGTCGGCTCGTTCAGGCGGCCCGGAGCGATGAGCGCTCCTCCGTGCCCGCTGTCGGACAGCGCAGACCGGGCTCCGTTCTGCTTTTGTTGTTGTTGGTAAAAAAAAAAGGAAATGAGAACTAAAAGCCCACCGCCCCCCTTACATCCACACACACACACTCACGCTTAGAGGTACACGCAGTGCTCTAAAAAAAGCAGATTCCTCAGCTGTGTTAATTAAAAAAAGAAATGACTTCTTCTAATGAAACGGTGAGGTAGTTATAGTCCCCGAGCGCATTATTATACGAGATGGATATATTGCTAATCTACTGTGGTGCCAACTTGTCTGACCGTGGCTGAATGTGGCGTTGGCATGCTTTTTTTTTTTCTTCTTAGGGCGGTATGTCGAGTTGGAGGGTAGTCAGAGGTAATTTATTTTAATTAAGAGGCCCCCACCATCTCCGGCCGAGTTTCACAGCCACCGCGGGGGGACACACTTGAGTTCTGCCTACGGATTTAAACTTGGTGGTGGTGGTTGTTGTTTTTTTTTAACTTCAGCGCTGTAAAGGCATGGTTTTGGGGTGTTGACATTCTGCCCCTTGCTTTGTGAACATGTCTCGGGGATTGAGAGGGGGGGTAGAGACGGGCTGATGGATCTCCAGACGCCGGCTTCCTTCATTTTGAAAGTTCATCGCAGGTTTTTAAGAAACCTGTTCGGTTTCTCCCGGGTCATACCGGTTTGAGAGCACGCAGGCGTGTGGCGAGAGAAAGTCGGGACTTGTGCGGATTTCGTGGGATGTCCGAGTCTATGCAGCGCTGTTCTATATTTTTCTTGAGAGTTGATTTGGGCAACAGACCGAGATTATTCCCCAGCGAGTGGAGTCATATTTTCAAGAAGACGGCCGCTGTCGCTGCTCACTTCTCTCCTCGTTGTAGGAAAAACTTCCTTCATCAGCCACAGCCCTGTAAATTTGACATCGCTCTCAGACTTTGACGTTAAAATCAGTGCATTATCATTCCGGTTGTCATTAAGAGATTCATCCCTTGCGTCAGACATAAATCTGCAGATACTGTTTGGGAGGGCATGGGCGTTTTTGTACAACGGTGTCTCGGTCGCATTCTCCTATGTTTGTTTTAAAAAGTGGTGTAAAAAAGTCGCTTGGGAAGATTTATACAGTCTTCTGAGGTGTCTTACGTCGCTGTGTACTTTCAAATATCTAAATATCTCCGCTACAGAAAGTCAGGCTTGGCTTTAGTAAAACAAAAAAAATAATTTCCATATTCCTCCGCCAGCGTCTAGCAGTTTTTCTGTGTGGAAGATTTAGAGATTTTTAATGAGAAGCGTTACAAACTCCCTGCTTTGTATGCAGGAGGGGGTGGGGGAACTCAATTGCAGAAAACTACGGCGGGCGTTGAATGTACTTGGAAAGTGTTGCAGGATTGTGAGCTCTTCAAATGTAGGTTTCGTGACTTAAAGAGCGGGGGGCCATACAGTACAGCTGTCCCGGCCGGCTCAAACACTTTGTTTTGGCGGTCGTCAAACGTTTTCGGAGACCAAGGTCAGTAGTGAACTCGACGGAGTGACTCCCCCCCCCACACACACACACGTTTTATTTCGTTTAAGGCGGAAACGGCCGCTTCTGTTACACTGTTGTTATCGCCATTTTGTCGTAATTAACAATTCGCAGAACTTGTAGGCGTATTTAAGTCTTTTTAGAAAGCGGGACGAGACGTCGGGGAGAAGGGGGCTGCGCTATTTCCGTTAAAAGACGCGAGGGACCAGCGTTCCCCGTGTGAAATGGCGCTATATATATACACGCATTACGCTATATTAGTGTGGGTGGGTGGGTTGTCAATTAAGAGTCCCTCGTCCCGCAAGCCCGAGCGCGGGACGGCTGTGAGGGCACGCGGCGGCGTGGCGTCCGGTTTCCCCGGAAACGTGCTGCGTGCGCGTCCCTGCGGAAGAGGCCGTCGCAGGAGCGTCAGGAGTTGAGCACGGCGGCTCCGGGCTGCGGGCGTCTCGTCAGCCCGATCAACGGCTTGTTTCAGTAAAGACCTGGTCTGGGGGGGCAGTAGTACAGTGTAGTGACTTAGGGGGAGAGGAATGGGGAGGGTAGCAGATAGGACATGGGCTTGTGAGCTGTATAATGGCACTTTTTTGGGGGAGCTTTAGGAATATTATAATCCTTACACTTTTATAAAGCACTTTTCTGGACACCCCACTCAAAACACTTTACAGGTAATGGGGATCCCCTCCGCTCCCCTCGGCTTGGGAGGGGGGTTGTTTCCCCTCTTGCCTCAAGAAAACATGCAGACTCCACACAGAAGGTGCTCCAGCTCAAACCCCCGAGAGCACAGACGCTGAGCCCCAGACTCTGTTCCTCCCTGTCTTTTCTATTGCTCTAGCAGATTATCAGTGCCCAGATCACCGAGGTGGTTGCTGTAAAATAATTAATTCTACTCGGGTTGGTCTTGACTGCTGGAGCAGGGGTGGTGTGATAGCCGAAGAGATGGGAGATCGTTTCAGTTCCACAACTCCGGCACCCTGTAGCTCCCAGAGCTGGCCGTGTGTCTCTTTAATTGACAGCATTAGCTTAACTACAGTGGAACCCATGTGTCCCAAGCCTGTAGCTTCATGTGGCGTGTTTGGCAAGCCGCAGTGTTAAAAATGTTTTGACTGAGCAGGTTTTCTTTCTCCTTGTCTTATATTGGATCCAACTTTAAAAAAAAAAAACAACCTACTAGTATAACGCTTCTTGTAGATAAAACTAGGGGGCCGCTAATGAAAACCCTGGATTTTTTGTGTCCAGGGCTGTTCTTCCCATTGGGCAGGCAGCAAGCCCTGGGGAAGGACCCCTGATGGTTTAAATGTGTGAAACGCTGGTTTTATTTGCGAGTCGCTTATAGGTTTGCAATTAGTGCTGAGGGTTAGAGCAATCCAGGCAGTCGAGGCTGTTTTGAAGTTAGTAGGTCGTTGGTCCCTGGGACCCAGCCGGCTGCATCTCGAAAGAAGTATCGGCTTGTTCCACACCTCTACCACCCTTTGGGCAAAGCAGTCCCCCCGCCCCCAAACTTCTCCGTTTTAAATGCGCTCTTGCCACGTTCCCACTGTTGCCCTGTGCTGTTCGCCGAGCCCATCCGAGGCCCACACTGTCCGGGATCGCAGGGAGTGGCTGTGGAGTTGGGTCCTGTTTTCCGTTCCCCTGTGACCCTCGGCTGCTCCACCTCTCTCGCGGGAAAACTTTCTCGTTGCCCGGGAGCCGTCGGGCTGTTCGCAGTCGCTGGGCTGGGGCTCCGGGAGGCCCATCCCAGCTCCCAAGACTCCGCTGTCACATCTTGCCCATTTGGAGATGTGCCACCAGCATGCAACGCGTCCTCTCCCGTCGTGGAAGGCCCGTGAAGCCCAAAACTGCCGGATCAAATCACGGTGTGAAGAGGTGGCACTGCAGGGGACGTTTGTGGAAGTCGTTCCTTTCTCGGAACGCGTTCACAAAAGCAGTCCGTTCGCTTTGCACACAGAAAATTGAAGTTGTTTTTCTTGATCCGCTCTGCGATGAAGTTAGAAAGTTCATCGAAGCTGGAAAGGAGCCGAAACAGAGCTTGCTGCTTATTTTCTAAGAGGTGTGTGTTTTTTTTTTTGTAGCTTTAAAAGTACAGACCTAGCAGGGTGTACACCTTCACTTTCTTAAGAGGTTCATTGAAGACTATCCTGCAATTTGTTCCCCTCTTTTATAGAAGGATCCTACTGTACTGATGTGGTGTAGACACAAAATGACCACTTAAAAAAAAAAATCGACATCTTCCTGGTCTTTCATCTGGCCCCTCTTTCTGTAGCAGGGCTACAACCCGTCTCTCTCTCTCAGAGGAGAAACACTGCGATGTCATGGCGAGGGGGGAAAATAAAGGCATGGAGCGATAAGTGAGATAGATATACAGGAAAAATAACAAGGCAGCTGGGCAAGAAAATAGGCTTTTGTCCTTTTCTTTTTGGCAATTGGCGATTGGTTGTAATTTTGAAAGCACCCCTCTGGAGAGCCAAAATCCAGCATGTTTTTACGGGCCACCCTTAAATCGTCCGTTTTGTCTCGCCTACGGAAGCAGGCGAGGGCTGTATTTAAGCCGTGTAAGGGGGAAATAAAAGCTTTTTAAAAAAAAAAAATTAAATGCAAACACCCTGCAACTCTGTTTTTAATTGAATCAATTAATTGGCTTAAATTAACGAAAGCTCCTGGTTCATGTCTTTTACGAGGTGGTGATTTAAGGGGTGACCCGCTTGGACTAGGGTCAGTCACCCCTGAAATGTTCCATATCCAAATCCAATCGCAGAGTTCGGTTCCACCCGGCTCTGTGTTTATTAAACCGCTGACCTGTGGGATGAGCAGGACAAGGGGTGAAGCGGAGGTCCTGGAGTGGATTGTAGTGGAATGGACTGCCGATTGACCACCTTCTCCCCTGTGGGGCTGTCGGGACGATGACGACCCAAGGGAACTGCTCTGTGGTCCGGCTCAGTCCCAGGTGAGCTCTGTCGAGAAACTGGACTCATGGAAGAGTTCTGTACGGATGAGTTAAGCTCCCCCCCATTATCGCATCGGTTCCGCTTGCTGGGGGCTGCTGTCCTGCAGGTTTCCAGGGGCTCTTAAAAACTCCAGCTGCTCAAGAACAAGGAAAAGCTCCACTTCGTCCGATTAAGCAAATAATGAGCTCAATTAGGTAATTTAGGGCTGAGGAGGAGAAGCAGCAGAAAGGTTCTGGCCCTCCAGGGCTGCAGTTGTAACCCCCTGGTGTGATCAAACTACATGTGTAATGTAC